GTGGAACTGTGAAGGATTACGAAGGGTGGCCTTGTTGAAGAAGGTGTGTCACTGGGGGCGGGCTTTGAGGTTTGAGAGCCTATGCCATTCGTCATTGGCTCTAGCTCTCAACTGCTCCCGCACCATGGCTTCCGGCCTGCTGCCCTGCTCCCCCGCCATGATAGTCATGGAATCAAACACTGTGAAACCATCAGCCCCAAACAGACTCATTCTTTTATGCTTCCTCATCCATGGTGTCTTATCACAGCAACAGAAGAGGAACTAAGACACCATTTAAATGTATTTCCAGTACACTCTGGTGTGAGGAAGCTAAGAGGACCCATCTGGACTGAACTGGATTTGAAGGCATGGACATCATTTTGCTTTAAATGCTTTTCTTGTTATTTTTGTAAACTGACGTGTGTGCTGGTATTGTGTTCCCCGAAATATTGTGCATGCTAATAAACTTATCAGAGAACAGAACAGCCACAATATTAAACATAGAGGATAGGCAGTGGTAGCACACGCCTTTAATCCTAGTATTCCAGAGGCAAGAGATCTGTCTGGATCTCTGTGTGTTCAAGGATACAGCCAAGCATGGTGACTCATGCCTTTAATCCCAGGGAGTGATGGCAGAAAACAGAAAGATACATAAGGCGTGAAGACCAGAAACTAGAAGCATTTGGCTGGTTAAGCTTTCAGGCTTTCGAGAAGCAGTTCAGCTGAGATCCATTTGGATAAGGACTCAGAGGCTTCCAGTCTGAGAAAACAGGATCAGCTGAGGAACTGGTGAGGCAAGATAGCTGTGGCTTGTTCTGCTTCTCTGATCTTCCAGCGTTCACCCCAATAACTGGCCTCAGGTTTGATTTTATTAATAAGACTCTTGAAGATTCATGCTACAGACATGGGCTTTTATTTCAGTTCCTAGACTAAGAGGCCAAGCACCTGGAAATACCCAGCTGCCAGTAATAGCTCCACATCAAGGTTTTCCTGCCTGGGCCTGCTCACTGCACAGGGGCACCTGATTCTGAGGGCAGACAGCTGCTCTAATAATCTGAGCAGGGGCTGTGGGATGCACGTTCCTGCCGCCTGGCACTGGTGTGTTGGGAATGACCCACATGGAAGCCAGTTTTTCTTGAGAGCCACAAAAGTGCCCCCAGACCAGGACTCAGAGCCTGGCTGAGTATGGTAGGTAAGCAGGCCAGGGTGGCAATGGTTCTGGCTCTAACACATGGGGATCCGTCCCGGCTCACTGGTTCTACCCAAGGACCCGTTCCTGTTCCTTACAGCAGGTGGCTCTGGGGACCCCTTGTGAAAAACAGCCCTGTGCCCACAGCCTGGAGGCCATGGGCCCCACATCACCACCGGCAGGTCCGAGTCCATTCCAAAGTCCCGTGATTCTGGGACAGATGGCCTGGCCCTGCCTTGCCCATTCAGGGGTCCTCCATGTGCCTGTGACTGTTTCTTCCCAGAACAGAGGAGGTGTGCAGAGGCTCTCCATGTTGGTGTGTGCCTCCATTTCCTCTCTTGCTTTGTGCTCCCAGCCTCTTTGGCCTTGGGGAGTTCATGATTGTGCCCCCTGGATTATTATGCCCTTGAGAAATCTGAGTTTTCATTAAGACAAAAAGCCCAGGTGTTGGGGGGGAAACTGAGGTCCCCTTTTGAGTTCTTAGTCTCTCGAATACAAGTTTTAAAATGGACCGGGAAGAAGATTGAGAATTTTTTTTTTAATTGGGGTTTGATAGAAAAATAACAGGGAAGGTGAAGCTTAAAATCTTGGCTGCTGCCCAGAGGAGGGGGGTGGGGAAGAGGAAGAGAGGAAGCTGTCCCGTCTGCTCTGGAGATTGGCAAGCAGCTGCGTGCTGGAAAGGGGGTTGGAGCTGGAGAAAGAGGGGAGCGGGGAGCCTAGGGTCTTAGGGAAAGCACGCTTAGGCTTTTGAAAAAGGGATAAGGAAAAGAAAAAGCATGCTCAGTTTGCTTAGTCCCAGGCCGTGAATCTGAGTTCAGAGGTCAGCCCATTGCCAACTGCTGTGTCCCAGGGCAAAGGACTGCCCTAGGGACACAGGGTTAGAAACAGAAAAACAAAAAAAACTTGTAAGAAAGGAGGAAGAACTCCTGATGCTGGGCGCAGGCCAGTGAGCCAAGGAAGGACCTCCGAGAGCCCTGAGCCATACGGCCTGTGCTGGCTAGTAGAGCCTTTTATTATTTAGTGGTTGATGGGGGTGGGCCTGGCCTGTTGTGGGTGGTGCCATCCCTGGGCTAGTGGTCCTGGGTTCTATAAGAAAGCAGGCTGAGCCAGGTGATGGTGGCACACGCCTTTAATCCCAGCACCGGGGAGGCAGAGGCAGGCGGATCTCTGTGAGTTCGAGGCCAGCCTGGTCTACAGAGTGAGTTCCAGGAAAGGCTCCAAAGCTACACAGAGAAACCCTGTCTTGAAAACAAAACAAAACAAAACAAAACAAAACAAAACAAAACGAAAAAAGAAAGCAGGCTGAGCAAGCCAGGGGGAGCAAGCCAGTATGTAGCACCCCTCCATGGCCTCTGCTTCAGCTCCTGTTTGAGTTCCTGTCCTAACTTCCTTCAGTGATAAATAGTGATATGGAAGTGTAAGCCAAATAAACCCTGTCCTCCCCAAGTTACTTTTGGTCATGGTGTTTGATCACATTTGTACCGCTCCCTTGTCTGCATTTGGTTTTTGTTGTTGTTGTTGTTTGTTTGTTTGTTTGTTTTTTGCACATGCTTAGTGCCTTAGATGAAGGCCAGGTGAGGAAGGGCATCCACATTCACTCTGCAAACTAGCTATTTTCATATGTGAACCTTGATGGTTTAGTACCTAGTCCTTACCCCCATTGTGGGGGAACTAGAGATAAACCTCAACCAGACACACTTGAGGTCGGGGTTCCATCCCAGGGCTGCACAAGACAGGGTGTGGTGGAGCATGTATGTAACCCTAGCACTTTGGAGATCGAGGCAGGAGGATCAGAAGTTCAAGATCACCCTTGGCTGTTTAATGAGTTACAGACCAGCCTGGGATACATGAGACCCTGTCTCAAACAAAACGGAACCCACCTAACAAAGAAAAGAAGAGAGAGAGGGAGGGAGGGAGGGAGGGAGGGAGGGAGGGAGGGAGAGAGAGGAAAGAAAGAAAGAAAGAAAGAAAGAAAGAAAGAAAGAAAGAAAGAAAGAAAGAAAGAAAGAAAGAAAGAAAGAAAGAAAAAAAAAGAGCCCTAGGGAGGACTAGCTGGAAGCGGCTTTCTTTTATCTCTGTCTGTAGTAACGCTGGTGAAGGTACCTTCTAGATGCCTGGAGAGCGGGAACTCATTGAATGAATTATTGCTGTTCCTCACCTCAGCGATGCAGCCACAAGAGGGCAAGAGAGCTCTTCTCTGGAAGCTTCCGCTGCTATTCAAGGGGAGTTGGGAAATACTTGTGGGCCCCTCCGGCACAGTGGGAAGAGTGGGTGGTCAGACCAGGGCTGAGTCCAGAACTTAATAAAAGGGGTCCAGGCCACCCAGTCTTGTCCCTAGAGAACCCCGAGAGCAGGCCTTGGTCCTCCATGCAGCTGGCGCCTGACCTCTCAGGCTTCCCATAAAGACAGGACTGAGAGCCTCACCAGAGAGGGAGGGACGCCCCACTTGGCCCTCAGCCTAGGCAAGTACATCTTGTAGGTCACAGGGACGCTCTTAGAAATGCCCAAAGTTTCACACGCCCCTTGGGACTCTAGACTTCGTCTGTCTCCCACAGACATCACAAATGTCAGTATAAGCACCCCATTCCCCCACCCCTGAGAGAACAGAGCCTCTAGGTGGGGAATACATAGGAACAGGTCCTGGGCTTGCTGCCCCCAGCAGCAGTGAGATGCTCTTTTGGAGTAGTCCCCTGTGGTAGCTGGGACGCCACCGTGCAGGGATGGGGGTGGAGGTGGGGACGTGGGACTCCACAGAAAGAGGCTGCCCGCCTGCTGTGCTTAGAGAAGCCCTGCAAGTTGTTACCATGTTGAAGCCATGTGCACAGACATCCAAGAGGAACTATATGAGTGGGCTGAGAGGTATGCAGTCGGGGCCAAATTAGTAGCCACCAGGGGCCAACCACAAGAAGGTAAGGGCAGAGGGGTGGGGAAGGCATCTTAGGAACTTCATTGTAATACTTTCAGAGACCACACCACAGTTATGATGAAGGTCAAAGGTTGAGCTGCTGCCCATGGAAGACAGGGAAGCTTCCCCCAGCCAGTGAAGGGGGCTTGGTGATGGGGGGGACGGACTGGCCACAGACCAAGAGTCCAGATGCTGGGAACCGGTGTCTGGGGGCATAGACACGCACACACCAGCCCTGCTTTTCTGTTTATCAAGCCAGTTACCAGGATCCACGGGTTGAAGTTTGGGGCCTTCGTGTGGAATTCCACCCCCTCACTCATCATAACTCCGGGGTAATAAAATCCTGGCTTTGTCGCTGGAAATGTGCTGGGAGGTGGCTGCTTTGTGAGTCACCAGCCGGGCAGGGAGTTCCGGGTTTTGTATCTATGGCTACAGGCCATGCTCAGAAGGGTTTCTCAAAAGGAGCTTGGGACTGCCTGCCAAGGGAGCCCTCAGAGATGGCCCAGTGTGCTCTGTGGCTGGGGAGGTGCCCGTGAAACCATGCCATCAGATGCCCAAGGTGTGACCATGCATGGGGGTTCCCTTGGAGCGGGGGAGGGGGTCAAAGTGCAGCATGGAATGTAGATCTTATGCTTCAGGGTAGGCCCCCGAGAGCTGGACTATAATTAACAGTTATGCCATGGACCCAGGGGTTCCCCTGCACTTGGGGCTCCCCCTTAGCCTGAAGGCCTCTGCCTCAGCCCAGCTGGAGAAAGCTATGGGACACTGTTCCCCACAGGGGAAATCTAGCCTTCCCGTGGGTAGTCTCCAGGAGCTAGAGGGCTAGAGAACATTTTCCTGGGGAAGCCTGGAGTTGCTCAGGGCTGTGAGAACCCACCCCGCGGGCCTATCTGGGTTCCAAACACGGGCAAATGTCACCAAGTGCGTAAGTTGCTTTATTTAAACAAGCTGGCAGCTGTGTTTGGAGGACCGGCTCAAGGACTGTCTTCTCCCCCTCGATGGCAATGTGGGGAGATGCCGACAGGCAGGCTGGGTGGAGGCCCGGCTTCCTTAGAATGAGGCTTAGCAGAGCTTTTCTGATTCATAAGGAACCCCCAGTTCCACGGTAGCATCACCGTTGCACGCAACCCGGGGGGGGGGGGGGGGCTCCATAGCTGGAGGCTACATGCAGGTCTAGCAAAGACTGCAGAGCCTGCAGCGACCTGACAGCCTGAGTTCCTCTCTCTAAAAGATCCAGGGAGGGGGCTGGGCTTTAGAGACGGCTTGAAGACTAGCACCGGGGAACACAAACATAGGAAGACATCCACGTGCCACTGTCCCCAGAGTTCCAGAACCGACACTCAAAACTTTCACGGGCCGGAGCCAACGTAGAAAGCATGCCTGGCTGGGAACTCTGAAGGGCCGGGCTCTGCGTTTGTCCTAGTGTGTAACTAGGATCTCGGTGTCATCTAAGCAACAACCTCCCTACCTCACAGCGCCGAACATGAAACAGGCTGCGGATGGAGAAATGCGGTGTTTGTCTGGTCTGTGGGCAGATGCCGTGGAGCCCTCGGCAGGAGCTGCAGGACTAACACAGCCGTTGCTGGCATTCGCAGGGTGGGGCTCTAAGGACTGGTGTCCAGAGGTGAGCTGTCCACCTGGTTGTGCAACCGCAAGCGTGTCTGTAGTCTGACCCACGGCAGGGGTTGGCTCAGATACCACTCCGTGCCGCATGGAGCTGACTTGACGTCGTCTGCTGATTCTGGACCAGTACAAGTCTAAGCGATGGAAAGGATGGTTATGCCCCTGTGTTCCCTGGATCTCCTAAAAATGGCCAGCTTTGGGCCTTAGCAGGAGCTTTATCCCACCCAGAATGTAGACCTGTGCCTGGTGTGTGTGTGTGTGTGTGTGTCTTAGAGATTCCCACAGGCCAGAAAATGCCCTTCGTTTACTCTCAGGGCTGTGTGAAGTGGGATTTATGTTCTCCTTCCAAGTACAGCCAGTGTCCCAACATTTATTGGAAAACTTTTGTTTGTTTGTTTCAGATAGTGTCTCATGTATCCCAAGCTGGCCTCCAACTCCTCATGTAGCTGAGGGTGACCTCGAATGTCTGATCCTCCCACCCCTACCTTGAAGTGCTGGGGTTACGGGGACATGCCACCATACCCGGAGATTGAACCCAGGGCTTTGTGCATGCGAGGCAGGCACCCTACCCACTGAGCTGTACCTTTGCTCCCCCACCCCCACAGTGCCTTTGAAGTGTAACAGCGGAGCTGGTAATTGTCTCGGGTTCATTCCCTCTCACGAACCAAGAGTTAAACAACTGGAAAAGACAACAGCAAGTCACAGAGAAGGGAAGAGTAACCGCCTCATACATTCGGCATGGGAGACGCCTAAGGCTGGATGTCTATTAAACAGACCGTGGCTTGGGTGTTTTATAGGACCCATGGGTCCTCCCCTTCCCCCTGTTGGTCCTGTTTAGATACCCACCCCCATGCCTTCCTGATGGTTTTCCTCCAAATGAGTCCTAGGAACAAGAAACCGCCATCTCAGGAAACCCACTTCCACTCCCCTAGTCTACCTGTCTCTTTCCAACGCCACTTTATGGTGCCACCACATGCCGTCTTCAGCACACGGTGGGGTCCCCTGGGCACTTGGTTCTGCGTCTGGCCTCTGTGGTCTCCTGCATGGCGACACAGCAACTGTACAGCAAGTCCCTTCTGCTCTTTAAGCCTTCCCTGCTGACCTCCCACCTCCCCCTCCCGTCTAGAACCAGTCACCGAGTTTCAGAACCTGTCCTCCCAGGAGTTGTTAGGGCTGTGCCGACCCCGGGGGACGACTTGGACGTTGGCTTCGAGATGCTACGGAGTCTTCAGAAGTGGCTCCATCTTGCCCTTAACTTAGGTCTTTGGCATGGTTCTTATTTTCATGCTGGATCTGCCCATGCCATGGTTACGTTGTCTCCATAACAGAGATTATTCCTAGGAGTTAGGCATGTCACACGTAAAACCTCACAACCTGGCACCCCTCTAAGGGTGAAGGTCTGATGACTTTCTTGGCACCCCTGACATTAGACAGAGAGCTTTCCTGTTTCTGTTTTGTTATTGTTATCTCCTTTACTCAACTTTCCCTGATATGTGAAACTACAAAACAAGTTTAATCTTTCCCTGAGTGCTAGGCTGAGCCAGCGGCTCTGGTCCCGGTGTTCAAGAGAATGCGGTTCCTCAGGGCTGAGCTATTGATGCAGCGGCCCAGGGGCCTCGCAAAGGAGGCCTCCGCAGTGAGCCCTCAATGGACACATACATAGTTTGGGTCCAGCATCCGCCTGAGGTTCAGGGGAAAGGAGCAGCCTTTGCTCCCCTTGGTGGTTAGCTGTAGAGCTTTTAGGGCTCAGCCTGCATGGATAATGCCAGATCTTCCAGGGCACATAGTAGAGCTGAGGCTAACACTGGGCTTTGGCCATTTTCTTGGGTCCCCCATCCATAACTAGTGTATTAATCAGGGTTCCTGAGTGGATAAAATATACATATGTAGCTAGAGTTTCCCTGCCTGACCCACAGTCAGGACAAATCTTTGTCACCCACCAGTCCCACAGCCGCTCAGACCCAACCAAGTAAACACAGAGACTTATATTGCTTACAAACTGTGTGGCCGTGGCAGGCTTCTTGCTAACTGTTCTTATAGCTTAAATTAATCCATTTACATAAATCTATACCTTGCCACGTGGCTGGTGGCTTACCAGTGTCTTCACATGCTGCTGGTCATGGCGGTTGTTGGCAGTGTCTCCCTGCCTCAGCCTTCCGCTTCCCAGAATTCTCCTCTCTCCTTGTCCCACCTACTTCCTGCCTAGCCACTGGCCAATCAGTGTTTTATTTGACATACAGACCATCCCACAGCATACATACATACATACATACATATGCATATATAAACATGGCCTTCATACATGCATATATATACACCTGCACATGTGTATAGGAATAAATACATCATCCACCTTATACACAATAAAAATAATTTTAAAAGAAAATGTAAAGTGTTTTATATATATATATACACACACACAAGGGTGTGTGTGTGTGTGTGTGTGTGTGTGTGTGTGTGTGTGTGTGTGTGTGTTTCTGGCCTCAAAGGGACCTTAGCACAAGATTGTCATCTCCTGTGGGCAATATTTCCTAAGGGCTTAGGACCAAAACGCCAAGTCAAGAACACAGACTGCCAGTTCACACCACGGTGGAATGTATGTTAAATGTGGAATACTGAAATACCAAGATGGCAGCAGCATGTCAGTGCCCAGGCGGAGCTGACACTACTGTAGGGTGGCCATGCCTCTGTGCTCTCAGGGGCTTTGGGCTGCCACAGAAAGTAGTGAACGCAAAGACTTGGGCCAGAACGTTCTGAAGTTGAGAGGCAAATAGCCAAAGGGGAGAGAAATGAAACCTGGGGCCTCTGATGCTTTTCTTCCCCTCCTTGCCGCTTTCTCCATCTCCCCATCCCTGTCTGTTCCCCCTCCTGCACACGTGGGCATGCACTGCTCAGGAAGGCGGCCTCATGAGAAGCTGGCAGAAGATCCTTCCATTGACAAAGCAGATGAGCTGCATGGAGTGCAGGAGGCAGAGGATGCTAGACTGGACCATCTAACCAGGCCCTGTTAGCCCAAGCTGGGGCTGGAATCCAGACTTTATACCACCTTGTAGGGTAGAGCTCTGTGCCCAGGTGCCCAGCAGCGGAGTTGGGGACACAGGGCTGTGTGGTCCCCACCCCCTCTCTGAACTACAGCACCAGGTCTGAGTGAGATTTCCCACAGCTGGGGTTCCGGGAGCCACACACAGTTCCCAGGGATGGAATGTCAATTCATCATCTAACCGACGGGCTTCACAAACTGTGGTTTTTCCATCTTAGACTCCAGAAGCCAGAAGATAGGCTTCGAGCTTAGCAAACACCGGGCGGGTGGCTGGGGCTGGCCAGTGCCTGGAGCTGCTCTGCTCCAACACCCCACTGCTCTCCCACTCCCGATACCTCACCCCACCTGGTGCCCTGGGGTCAGGACAGCTGCCCAACATCCCATCAGTTACGATCAGATCCCATCCTCCCTCATCTGGCCACCTGAGGGCTGGCTCTGGTCCCAGAGAGTCACCCACTACACATCTGCCCCCTTTGAATTCAACTCCCCTGCCTTTTGCTGTTCTCTGTGCCTGCCATGCCCCCCCTTCCCGCACCCCACATCCTTCTCTGCCATCACAGAGGTAGTCCCTTAAGCCACCCCTTACTCAGAAAAAGCATACCAGCTCTTCACAGAAAACTGTCGCCTCATCAGCCCTGGCGACAGTCTCTAAATGCTAGTAGCCTCCTAGCCCAAGAGTATGTGGTCCCCACTGGCCAGCTTGGAGGGAAAGCAGCTGTGGCTTTCGTCAGAGGAAGCAGGCGTGAGGGGAAGGTTCAGCTGGGCCCGGAGCTCTTAAGGCCAGTGGCTTTTCTTTCTCTTCTTGTAAGCCTGGAGCATTCCCCAGATGTCTCCCATCCTGGGGCCTGGCCAGAGGTGGATCAGCTGTTGTCTGCTCAGCACCTGGCACTGGTCCAGCCTCCAGCATCCTGCCTCATGTGGTACAGGAGGGGGTCCTACCCAGCCTGCTGTGCGTCACAAGGGACAAACTGAGGGAAAGGCTTGGGCCTGAGAGGTTGTCCATGTAATCCCCCTGTGGGTGTAATTTGGTTTCCATGCCATTGTATCGGACAGTTTCATCTCTACAGCACTTTGTGTTTCTTCCCACTTCAGGAGACAACCCCACACCTCCACCCCGGGAGCTTGTGTTCAGGGCCTCTGGAGGTCCAGACCTGCGGTCAACCTGGTTTTCACTCATCCTGGGGTTCCCAAGCTCCTGGAAAAGTCTCCAGTTGTTCAGCTTCAGGGACATTGCAGCAGCTAGTGCCTGCAGCCAGGGGAGGCTGGGAGAGGCAGGCTCTCTGTACGTAAAGATGTCCCAGCAGCTGCAGGTGTGTGAGAAGTGGCCACCACACCTGCTATACTCACGGGCTAGGAGACGGCTCTGGTGGCCACCAGCCTTTGATGTGTCCATACACAGGACCAGCCGCTGGGTTCTCATGGGGGCTCAAGTGTGGGGGTCTCAACAGTGTCCAGGTGAGGCCAACTCAGCAGATTTGGAGGCCCTAAGAACTGTGTGGGTGAAGCCGCTTCCACTTGGAGACCATGAAGCCCTGGGGCCCCAGGGAAGGGCCCTACATATGCCCCACTGGGGCAATGCTTAGGGGAGCTATGGGCAGACCTCACCTCCTCTCAGAGACCCCAGGTCTACAGATCCATCGGTGTGCAAGGCCAGCCTGGGAACGCCTCAGACACAAAACACCAATCTGTAAGAGCTGCAGCTTAGGCTGTCTCAGCCTTGGGAGCCCAGCCGGACTGCAGGACAAGGAGTCTTCAGTACTGTCAGCCTTCAGATCCCATGGAGTTGGACCCACTGGGTTCGGGCTCACTGGGGACCTGCAGCCCCTTTCTTCTTTCCTGTTCCTTCCTTTGGGGATAGGACTGTCTGTCTGTCTGTCTGTCCCGGGCCTGTGCCACCGTAATTTATAAGACAAGGATAGTATCTCCGATGTCGCAGCTAGAGGGATCTTCCTCAGGGTGAAGGTACCTTGAGCCTCCTCCATTTCTGGTAATATGGTTCCTTCCATGAGATCTGGCTGACTTTATGTATTTGGTTTGTTGTTGTTGTTGTTGTTTACAACTTTTGGAGACAGGGTTTCTCTGTGTAGCCCTGACTATCCTGGAACTTGCTCGGCAGACCAGGCTGCCCTCCAACTCAGAGATCCACCTGCCTCTTCTTCCCAGGTGCTGGGATCAAAGGTGTGCACCCAACTGACTTGAAAGTTGACTCAGGACCAGTGAAGACACGAGGTTGCAGAGATAGAGTAGATGTGATGCCATTCAAGCCAGCCAGTTGTCTGAAGAACGCCAGCAACCCTTGCCAGGCTGAATTACGTCTCTTCGTTGTGCTCACTGGGGACAGCTCCTGTGACTTCTCTAGACTGCTGTGACCTGGACAGTGCTGAGCAGTCAGGCATCCCCTGCTGGGTCTGTTTCATGATTAATCCCAGATGCTTCGGGTGCTGGCTCACCTGTCAGGCCAGTGTCTGTGACCACCTCTGACTGTGGCTCTTGACTGCCTAGTGAATGTGTTGTCTGCAGAAATCTCTCCCTCTGTGAGGAGCTCTTCCTGTGGGAGTAATGGCTTCTGTGAACCAGGTGGTACACATCCCTCCCCGACAGGGCCTCACCTGTCGCTGAGTTCTGGATAGAAGTGTTGTGCACTGAACTATGGCAGAGTTCAAGAACACACACACTCACCCAGCATATGCCTATAAACTCTTTTTGAGAACACACAGACACATGTACACATAAAGCACACATTTCCCTGTTTGAGAACACACATATGCATGCCTACATCATGGACATAACACATTTCCCTGTTTGAGAACACACATATTTATGCCTACATCATGGACATACACACTTCCCTCTTTGAGAACACATGAATGTACTTCCATCTACAGACTGTCGTGTCTGTTTTATTTTTAAACCAGTGGGGTCCCACTGATGCCTCCAAGCCCTCGGGACTCACTGCCCCACCCGCCTGCCCTCCTTCAGCAGCTGCACCTCTGTCCCCAGCTCCCACAGGTTTGCTGACCTGCTATTGTGTGAGTGTGAAATGCTCCCCCATGGGCTTGAGTTCTGAACTCTTGTTCCCCAGCTGATGACGTTATTTGGGATTGTGGCCTTTAGAAAGTGGAGCCTAGCTGTGGAAGTGGGTCACTGCGGAGGGGGGGGCGGGGTCTTGAGGGCTCTAGCCCTACCTCTCTATGGGCTTAGCCTTCTGCTTCCAAACCCACTGAGATGTGAGGAACAAGCCACCTTGCAAGCTCCTGCCACCCAGGAGGTGGCTGCCTGGTGCCATGCCTTTTCTGCTATGATGGACCTAGCCAAAACAAACCTTTCTTCCCTTAAGTGGTGCCTTCGCCTGTATTTTGTCCTAGCAAGGAAAGGGTAACCAATACATCTGCTCACAGCATCAACGCAACCATCTCAGGGCCCTGGGCTTCTCCCTGGATACAGCATCCCTGCAGGCCACGCTTTTTTTTTCTTCCGATTTCTGGTAGCCTTGCCCACTGGACTCCCTTCCTGACTATGTGGGAAGAAGGAGGGGGACTTTCTCTAAAACCAAGGCCAGGTCTCTCATGGAGAGGGGACACCTTGGGGAGGAGGGGTGAGGGGCAGTATCGGCTGGGTAACAGAGCAGGCTGAAGGACCCTCCTACCTCCCAGGGTCTCAGGGCACCTGCATGGAAAGCCTTTTCTGCACTCAGTGGAACCCAGGCCACCATCCTCAGAGGCCACGAAGGCTCAGGGACCTGCCGCTCTGCGGTTGCTTTCGCTTCCTCCCAGCTCAGGCCTGGGGCTCAGCTCGGCCAGCACTGGCTGCTGTGACCCACTTCTGACTGTTGCCGTGTCTTTGAGCAGTCATTGCAAATTATTCTATTTATGAATATGTTGGCCTGAAAACAGTTCTATGAGGAGAGTGGCCTCCCCGACAGGCCATGTCCCCCGCCCCCAATCATCCAAGACAAAGCTCAGGGGATTGGCAGGATATGCCTCGGGCATTGAGAGAGCAAGCGGGAAAACCCTGTCCTGGGGGGGGGGGCAGCCAGGCAGCCTGACAACCCATCCCCGTTCCTTGGGCTGCAGCTACAGATGCCCATGTATACAAAGGACCATTGTGCTTGCCTATCACGTGCCCTCGAGCCTGGTCTTGGCTGTTCTGAGACATGAGGAAATGTGGGAACCATGTCCCTCAGGCTGCATTTGACATTTGACATTCACTGCAGGGGAAGTGTCTGGGCTGCGTGTTTGGGGCGGGGGGCGCTCACCAGACTAGCCACTGAATTGGGTTTAGGAACAGGCAACCCTCACATGCCAGGAGCCTAAGACTGGCCCTGGTGCCAGAACACACAGTGTTGCCCTTCACTGCCTTCCACTGGGAACAGGCAGGGCTGGCCTTAGGAGGTTGGTGGGTGAAGGAGACAAAAGAAATATGGGCAGAGTTCATGAGCGCGCGCGCGCACACACACACATACACACACACACACACACACACATACACACACATACACACACACACACACACACACATCTTTAAACACACACACAGACACACACACACGAGTGTATATATAAACACAAACGAACACACCGGCACACATACCCCAGGAACACACAAGTGCATGCACAAAAATCCCAGGCACATGTGGGAGCACATGCGAACACTTCAGCAACATACAGAAGTGCTGTCTACAGAATTCTGGGATTTGCACATTTGTCTCTGAGAACATTTGCACGCATGCACATGGAAAGCCAGCCCTGCTGAGAGCTGCCATATCAGAGAGGACATAGGCTTGACGTGGACATGACTCGGGGAGCTGCCTGCCCTTCCCCATAGCCACCCTTTTGACCAGCTCAGCTCCTTCTCCCTAAGGAGACGTCTGTAACGGTTTAGAGGCCCCACAAGAGGACAGCCCCACGGCTGCTGCTGAGAACAGCGAGGCGGGCGGGTGGGGGGGGGGCTGCCCGTGGTTCATCAGTACCATGGACGTCGTGGCCCTGGGAGTGCGTTGTTGGAACTGTACTCCCAAACCACAATTACGCAGCTGAGAGCTGGATCCTGAGTGTTTACAGTGTGCTGAGGCCATGGAAGGAGACCACTGTAAACACTGGAGGATTGCGAAATCACGGTTCCGAGTGGCTGGCTGCAACATGAAGCGGACCTGTGTTCTCAGGGACGGCCTGTAGCAGACCAGCAGGCACGAGCTCTCGGAAGGCAGAGCAGAAGACACCTGCTGGCCCACGGCTCACTGTGGTTGGGAGGCTCAAAGGGATCTTAGGTTCACAGTGAGCAATGGGTGGCTGGTCTCTATTCCCCTATCTCTGATGTCTGTGGGTACTAGCCACTCGGACCTCAGCAGCCCTCTCCAGCTCTCTCTGCGCATGCCGGTGAGGAGAGGAGAGTGCCTCTCTGCTCAGCCATGTGGCCTGAAAGGCACGGACTCTTCATACCTATGGACATTCGCAAAGATCCACTATGGGCTCCCTCTTAGAGAGGGGTCTTTGTAGATGTGGTCAGTGAGGCTCTGTGCTGATGGTACTGTCCAGGCAGGACCTACATGACACCACTGTGTTCCTGTAAAGGAGATGGGAAGAAATCAGACCAAGAAATAGCATAGCCTCAAAGGCAGAGCTTAAAGTGGTGTGACCCCAATATTGGACCCCAGGACCTTCTGGGCTCTGAAAGAGGGGGGTAGATATAACCTGTGACAGCAGAACTCAGGCCTGGCTTGTAGACCAGAGGGAAAAACCTTGGAGACTCCCCTCCACAGCGTGACACTTTCTCATGACAGCCCTGGGGACACTAGACCAACCATTCCTCTTCCTCAAGGCCACTTAGTGGTCAGTGAAGACACTCCCAGTGTGCTGGGCCTCTCAGTGACAGGGATGGAAGGGGCTGGCCCTGGATGAGGACACCACCAGATGCCAGTGAGACACTGGCCTGGGTGATGGCGATTCTCTAAGAACACGTGTGTGCATGTGCATATATCTGCGCACACATGCGCAGTCAGCAACCCATGCACGTGCCTACCTATAGCCATGTGTCCACTGACCTGTGCACACTCACGCAATCCTTCTCCTGTGTGCCCACTGTCAGGAACTCTCTGCCTGCATACAGGTGAAGGAGAGGAAGAGACATTACAGGCTGTAATGATTTGTGTGAACTCTCAACTTGACAGACTCTAGAGCCACCTAGAGACAGGCCTCTGGGCATGCTGGTAGGGGAACTATGTTAATTGGACTGGGAAGGCCTGCCCACTGTGGGTGGCACCACTCCCTGGCTGGGATCCTGGACTTCGTACACAGAGAAAGGGAGCTGAGTACCGGCCGCCGTCACTCTGCTTCCTGGCTGTGGATGCAATGTGGGCAGCTGGTTCTAGCTCCTGATGTCTGCACTCCCACCATGGTGTGTACCCTTGAAGTGTCAGCAGAATTAACCCTTTCTCCCTTTGTTGATTTGTCATGGTATCTTATTGCCACAATGGGGGTGGGAATGCAAACTAAGTCATGGGCCACGTGACGATATGAGCATAAGTGTGCTGGGGGATATCCAGCAGATTGGAGATAGCCAGGTGAGGGAGGGCCGTGCTTAGCCACGTCAGTGTGAGGATGACAGAAATCATCTGGACATCTGAGTTCTGGGTCCTTCCTAAAGTAGAGGAGGAAGAAAACATGTCTTCAGAGCTCAGCGGGTGGCTGCGGGGACAGAGGTTTTCTTCTCACAGCCCACTGACCCCGATTCATAGTTGGGCACCCTGACCTTTCCCAGAGCCAGCAGAGAGATGGGAGACTAAACAACCATGTCCACTTCTCATTTCCCGAAAAAACTCTTTTGGCCAAAATAAATAGATGTCCATCAGCTGCTGGTCTGCTCTGGACGCTGGGTCTTGCTCAGGGCAGGAGGCTCCAATTTCTGGAGGGTGGAGCAAGACAGCTCAAACTCCAGGGAGGCTGATGGCTAGGTCCCCTGGGAAACCCATGCAGCTGGGATGGTTTGCTCCTGAGCCTGGCCAGCAGTAAGATCCAGGTCACTCTAAGAACATTCTGCCCATGAGGCTCAAACCCTGAAGCCCAGAAGCTACATGAGGGCATTTGCATCCATCACAGCCTTCATTCCAAGGCTCATTGTCTCTGTCAACTGATCGCCATACAAGCTAGGTGAGCAGGTAGGGCCAAGTTGAGATCCTAGACGCCAGTGTCCAGAGGCAGTCAGGAGCTGTAGCTCACCCTGAAGTATGTGGGAGCAGTGTGCAGGTCTCTGCTCCAGGGACTCTGCATCCAACCAGCCTACAACGGAGACCCCAGCCTTGCTCACTCTGAACCCCAGCCCTACCTCTGCCCTGTGTGATGGCGTTGCGTGAGGTCCTTTTTTGGACTATCGGGGTGGGGCTAGGAAGAACACAGGACTCGTGGCGGAGCCTAGAGGTGACCACACTCAAAACTGTGGGGATGCCAGTCCCCGCCCCCCCCCCCCCCCCCCAGGCATGAAGGATGACTCTATTCAAGTCCTTAGAGATTTGTGGTTACTCACAGCAGAAAGAAATGGGGTGCTGAAGATGACTGAGGAGGCAAGCACCACAGAGGATGTGTCCACTGTGGCTAGAGAGTTGGCAGATAGGTCAGGATACCCAGCCAGAAGCAAGGTCCAGGGGAAGGTTTCACATGTCCACTTGGCAGGCCCCTGGATCTCTGGGAACTGGTTGGATATTACTTTCACCCATGTGTCAGATGTTTGGAAGACGCTTGAATTTGATAGGGTGATGACTTAGGGGCCATTTTCCTCTCCAATACTGTGGACCTCATTCAATCGGGAAGGCTGGGTGGGGTAGGACCGCCATTCCAGTCAATAATACTGGGACAGATGGGCTACACACACACACACACACACACACACACACACACACACACACACACACGTCAATCTTAGCTGAAAATTAACTCTATATGGGTTACAGACCTAAATGTAAAATGCAAAACTAATACTCACCTAGACTGTCACACAGTAGAAGTCTCAAGTGGCTTTGGAGCGGTGATGGCTTTTTAGACACAGCCCAGAAGGCATTGCTTCCACCAGGGAGATGGTTGGCCAGGTCTTGTTAACATTAAAAGCTTCTGTTCTGGGGCTGGAGATATGGTTATCGCAGAGGACCTGAGTGTGGTCCCCAGCATCCCTATGATGGATGTGCTCTTTAGTTTTCTGTCAACTCGACACAAGCTAGAGTCATCTCGGAAGAGAGAACCTTGATTGAGAAGATGCCTCCATCAGCTTGACCTGGAGGAAAGTCAATGGGGCATTTTCTTGATTAATGATGGGTGCGGGAGGACCCAGATCACTGTGGCCCCCAGCAGGCAGTCCTGGGGTGTATAAGAAAACAAGCTGAGCAAGCCTTGGGGAACAAGCCAGTAAGCAGCATTCCTCATGGCCTCTGCTTCAGTTCCTGCCCTGAGCTCCAGCCCTGGTCTCTCTAATGATGGAGTGTGACCTGAAAATGTCAGATAGGATTTCCCTATCTTTCCTTTCCTCCAGATTGCTTCTGGTCAGTATTTTATTACAGAAATGGGAAGCAAATTAGAACAGCGGTTCATAACCACTTGTAACTCTGGCTCCAGGGGATCTAGCATCCTCTTCTGGCCTCCAAGGGCAGCCACATGCAGGCATGCATACACAGCCACAGCCACATATACATGTATATAAATAAAAACAAAACATAAATCTAAACAAAACTTCTATTCCACGGAAGACGTTGGTGAGAGAATAAGTAGCCAAGGCAGGCTTGGAGAAAAAAAAAATCTTTGCCAATGACACACGATACCCCAAATATGCCAAGAACTGTTAAGACCCAACAATAAGAAAATGAATCACATGATTTTAAAAAGGTCCCGAAGGCCCGAACACTTCCTCCTCAGTAGTGCGGAGGCTTCACATGAGAAGAGGAAAAGGGGGTCCATTTTCAGTAACATCAGGGTAATGCAAATAAGTCAGTGAGATATCACTTTCCATAATCAGAGGTGCCAAGTGCCCTACACCGATGTCACCAAGAGCTGGCCAGGCTGGCGAGCAAAGGAGTGCTCTCTCTCCCTCGTCACTGGCGAGGAGACCAAATGGAACAGCAACCATGGAAGACAGCTGGGCAGGTTCCTGAAAGCTCACCAGACTTCCCAGACACCCCAGAAATACACTCTGGGTAGGTATCCACAGGACCTGAAGAGGTGTTCCTGGGCAACCTCAGCGTGGATGTGCGCATCAGCCAAGTTCCTACCTGCCAAGCTGGGCAGTAACAGAGCTGCCCTGTAATTAGTGAATGGCTGAACTCATGGGCACACCCAGCTAGCAACACTCATTCAGCGCTGGAAAGAAATGTGCCACCAAGCCTCGAGAAGTCAGGGGAGCCCTAAATGCACGCCTTTAAGTGAACCAGCCCGAAAGGCTTCGGGGGCTGTAGGATTCTCACAGTGTGACACTCTGTAAATGGCAAGACTTGGGACAGTGAGAAGATCTGGGGATGCTGGGGTTCTGGAGGTGGGGTGGGAGTGTGTGGATAGTACACAAAGGATTCTAGGGCCAGGGACTTGGTATATGACACAGCAATGGCAGATAGATGCCATTCAACGTTTGTGCAGACACACAGACTGTGTGCCAGCCAGCAAGGGTGAGCCTGCTGCTTCCAGCCACAGTGCTGTTAGGCTCTGTGGTGCCGTGGGGGTGGGGCTGGGGCTGTGCAGCAGGCTCCCGGGCTTACACCGCCTCTGCTGGTTGCCAGGCCTGTCTCCCATGCCCCGGAGAGCTGAGTTGGTCCCCACCCACCTCTAGGTGTTTTCCGAATGTAAAGATCCTGCCCACACAGACCTAGGATGCCCCGGCAAGGGCTGCACGCGGTGTGAAAAATCTCCAGAGTCTGACCGCAGCGTTCCTGACTGTGCCTGATGGAAACGCCGCAGTCAGGAGGGCTCCTGCGGAAGCCCAGCCACTGATCTCCAGGTCCAGACTGTGGTCCAAGATCTCATTCCTGCCCAGAGCCCCAGATACCCGGGCTGTTCTTTGGCCTTCCTTTAGCAGCTGCTCATATCTCAGCGCTGCACCAAATGAGGCTGTACAAATGGCACCCCACGTGCCTACGGGAGTGGTAGAGCCGGACCTGCGCTCACTTTGCCTGTCTCTCACTCAGCTGTAAGGATGTGATGTTCAAGTCAGAGAGAGAGAGAGAGAGAAACAGGTCCACAGTGCCTCTCCACCCTGGAGTGGTTTGGGGAGGGTGTTGTCCCCATCCCCATTTGGTCTTAACATCAGTTGTGTGGGCCAGGCGGTGGTGGCGCACCCCTTTAATCTCAGCACTCGGGAGGCAGAGCCAGGCAGATCTCTGTGAGTTCGAGGCCAGCCTGGACTACCAAGTGAATTCCAGGAAAGGCGCAAAGCTACACAGAGAAACCCTGTCTCAAAAAAACCAAAAAAAAAACCCAAACAAACAAACAAAAAAAAATCAGTTGTGTGGACTTCTATGAGTCCTGGGACAGTCTCCCTACAGTCCAACTCAGTATAGGGTTCTCCATCCTCCATGTCTGTGGAGCCTTTTGTGTCCCCAAGTCAGATCACTCACCTGTGACATCATTGGTGTCTCAGATGCAGGAAAAAAAGGAAGAAGCGTGCAGAATGTGAATGTCCCCAATGCCAGTGATGCTGAGACAACCACCTCCAGCCTGTTCAGTTTGGGATCACAGGTTCCAGTCTGAGCCACCCTCTACCTCACTAAAGGTCAGACTAGAGAGGGCCCATCTCCACTGGGAGTAATGCCCTGGAGAGGAGGCATGCAGGTCTCCACAGCCTTCAAGGGGATGTATCCCCTCTCCAGGATGCTAGAGCCACATGCCTGGGATGAAGGGACTTGAAAATGCCTGAGAGCAACAGCCTGTGAGCCCAGAGCTCCTTCCCTCCTAAGACACTAAGCCCGTGTCCATGTCCCTGGTCCCCAGGCCTCACCAACAGCCCCTGCTTCATTCAGCCTTCTCTACAAGGAGAAACCGTCTCTGCTCAGTACTCCAGCAGCAGGGGGCCCTATACCAGACACTGTGCCCCCACTGTCCCCAAAGCCACCTTCCCATCTCTAGCTTACCTAGTATGGGGATTAATCTTCCCACAGTGGCTGGACTGGGGCTGATTCCAATGCCCAAACCCTAGGGGACCAATGTGAGCACTCCTGTGTCCTCACCCTGGACTCCTACCTTCCAAGAATAGCTGACCCAGGCTCTCTCTGCCTTAGACTATCATGGCCCTAGTGTGCGGGAGGAGAGGCTGGGCCCTACAGCAATCCCCCACCCCCTCTGTCTTTCAGCCTCCCAGGTCTTGCCCTGCTCTCCTCTGCTTCCTGCTCTGGGATCCAGCAGGCCACACTTACGCCCTGGCTTTCTTCCATGCTGAATAACAGGATCCCATTTAGAGGTGGCTGCCCACTGCCTCCCGGGGTCATTCGGATGGGAGGTGGCCCCAAGTCCCACGGATTCCAGACAGCAGGGTTTTCATGACTCATTTCTGAGTCGGGTCAGGGTCAAAGGGCACAGCCAGACACGTATCCTCTGGGGCACAGGGCAGACAAAAGGGAGCTGGGTGTGAGGGAGGGGCCACCTGCACCAGGAGGGGAGAGGGAAGGTGTGAGAGCTTCGGAGCGTGAACAAGGGTGATTGTGTGTGTTGAAGTTGGTCAGCATGGCATCTGGCCTGGCATCTGTGGCCAACAGTTGCCCTGCTGTGTGCCCCAGCCCCCAGCCTCAGGGAGCCATGCTGGGCAGTCAGCAGGAAGGAAACAGGCATCAAGGCCCTGACCAGCCCGTCTGGCTGTCCTGGCGCCCTCCTTGGGACCCTGGCGCCGGTCCGTCCGAAGGCCAGCTGAGGCTATTCTTGGTGCTGTTGCTTGGTCCTGACCAGGAGCTCCTTATAGGGCTGTGTCCAGCCTTGAGGTGCCCTCAGAGTACCAGGGTCAACTTGCCCTCTGCCAGCTGAGGACATGGGCGTCTGCTTCTACCAAGGCCACGCCCACTCCTGCTTCTTAGGAATGTCCCTTGGATTTCTGTAAAGTTGAGGACACTTTGGCCTGGGCAGTGTGGGGAGGAGGGACAGAGCTCAGAGTCTTGTGACCTCATTCTAGAGGCCCAAGTCCTTGCCATACTCGGAGCCAGTGGTGAGGGATTATTTTTAGACGTTCCTAACCTAATAGCTGGCATGTGCCCAAATAATACACAAGGTTTGGTAGCACAAAAAGAAAACTTTTTGGTGAGTCACTCGGTGGAGAGAAAGCACCCCAGGTGTGCATCAGCTTGTACTTCCCGAGACTGATGTGGGTGTTTCCTCCTGGTCCGCTGCCGGTGCCAGTGCGCCTGACTCATCCAGATGCGTGGTTGCTGGTCATCCCTGTCCTCTTCAGAGGGCAGCGGGGGCGTGAGCACATGTTAGCAATGGGAGCCGTGACTCTGGCCAGCTGTCCCCTCTCTGTACCATTGCTCACCTGCAGATGCACAACGTTAAACAGCGCAGAAGAACAGGGTGGGAGGGGCCTGGCGCTCCCCAGCCCTGCTGACTGCTGGACAGCACCATGTGCCGTCCTGTGATGACAAGAAAGTGGAGAGGAGGCAGGCTGGGCCGTGCCACACCAGGCTTCTGCCTTCCAGGGCCTTCTCCTCTGAAGAGATGTCTGCAGAGGTGTGAGGAAAGCACCCAGCTCCACCCACTAGCTTGGCCAAGGTCTAAGTGAAAGACCTTGTCCACGAGGACCCAGAACACAGTGATGACAGGAATGGCTGGTTCCCCACTTGTCACAGTGTCTTTCCTTGGTGTCCTTCAGCTGTGGTTCTTGAGCCTGGATGGAGGGCTCACAGGAGGAGGAGGAGGAGTTCCGATACCTTGGGTGTGGCCAGGCCCCCTACATTGTGTGAGGACCTTAAAGTCTTCTCTGTATCCATAACAAGGTTGTCACCTGAAGTGAGGGCTCAGGAACAGCTGCAGACACCCCCAGCTGCCATTTTAAACAGCTGTTCCTTAAGACAGTGTAAAGCAGTGGTTTTCAACCTTCCTAATGCTGTGACCCTTGAACACAATTCCACATGCTGTGGTGACCCCCCCACACCATAAAATTATCTTGTTGCTACTTCATATAACTGTAATTTTGCTACTGCTAGGAATCATAATGTAAATATCTGATGTGTGACCCCTCAAAGGGGTCATGACC